GGGGGGGTTCGTTTCAACAGTATGCTTGATTGGTTGTGCACTGCTTTAAGCAACAAAGTATGTGCACAGAGTTTACATACCTAGCATGCTCTAGTATCACAAAGCAACCAGAGTTAATTAAAAACAGATTAAAATATATATGTGCATTGAAAGATATCTTCCATAAGCCCACATGGAGCTGCATGAACAGTATTACTATCCTTTAATTCCTGATTAATCAAGTCCTGCATCAGCTGCTCCACTACTTCATTTGGGAGTGTTGTCTAGCTGATAAGCTCATGGTTACCCATGGGACATACTGGGGTGCACTTGCGCCTTCAGCCTTAAGCCCCTCCGCTGTCTACTATTTGACTTACTGAGAATAGGCCGAGGTGCTTCAAAAGGTTCAATTCCTTGGCTCAGGGCATCTCAGCTTCTCTTGCCAAGGGCTCAGCAGCTCTAAACAGTGGTGATTTTGCCAGCTAAATAAATCGCACCTTTTACCTAGCTTGTGTGATGAAATTATGTTGTTCCCTCCATCCCATAGGGAAGGACCAGCCCAAATTTGACAAATGCTCCAAAATCATACAAAAAAAAATATCAGACGTTTTACAAAAAAATAGGGTTTCTTATGAATTACCTCATGTTGAGAATGGAGAAACAGGAAAAAACAGCTACAGGAATATTTGATCTTACCACTGCATCTCTGCTGAAAGTATAGACTTTACTTCTGACCCCCTGTCAGAGTTCCCTGAAAGTCCTGTCAGCCTGTATTTCTCAGCTAAACTGGCTGAGAGATGATCATCCTCCCTACACCCAGGGATCCTTAGACCAGCGATTCTCAGCCTTGTTAGACTCAAGGCATCTCAAGTCTAAACAAGGGGTTACCTGTCAGAAAATGCCAGCTCTTAGCTTTTACTTCCTCTCTTTTTTTGTTCTTGAGTATAGAACAGTAGAGCAATTCCTTGTTGCAAAGAACTTAGAAAGTTGAGAACAGATCAGAACGTTTTTGAAATTACAGATTCCCATCTGTAATCTCTAGGTTTATTTTGTGAATCGTGTACAAGTGTTTGCATTCCTAATATTGGGTGGCACCCTCAAAAGGACTTCCTGGCACCAGCACTGAGAATCACTACCATGGCATCTCAAATAATTTATCCACCCATTTATATTTTTACTGGATTCTTGGGGAGCTTATACTATGCAGCTAGCTTCCTGCCCCAGCTGCATCTCTGTTTGATAAGACAGGTTTCTTTTCAATTATAACCAGGAAGTAATTTACATCCCTATATCCACAAAGATTCTTTGATCTGAAGATTAGTATAGTCTTATTTCTAATCAGATACTATTTTGACAGAAGACTATTTACTCTTAACACTTCCCATTCCTTCCTATTGAAAGGGAAGCTATCATTGCTCAAGAGGACAATCTGGAGTCCAAAATTCATCTGATCACCTGGCAGGCTCATCTGCATAGCCATTACAGATATAAAGTCTTAGCATTTACCCTTCCTAAGCCATCTAGACTTTGCTCCATGTAGGTACAAATCTTATCATCTATTACCCAAATCTCAACTGTACTCTGAAAATAAAAAACACATTCTATCAAATACTGTAATTGACACAAATATAAAAATTAAGTTTAAAATAGTCTCTAGAATTATCTATCCATAAGGACTACACATCACTACACAGTAAATCTAAGCAATTTACTATCAGTATTACCCTTCAACTACACATTACATCAGTAAATCCAGTTGAGGGAACCATTTATGAATAATGTTCTTTGAACACCCCCACGATTCCTAATTGTGGGGTATATGACACTGTCACCTTGTTAACATTTTGCAAGTACTGGCATAACATGAGTTTTTAGTCTTCTGAAGCTTCCCCATTTTTCAAATACTTCTTGGAGAAGACCTGGCCAAGTGTGCTCCTCAGCCAGGTCTCTTAAGAAGTTCAATATCCTTTTGAGCTAGGATTGGTCAGTCAGTCAAACGTCAAACGATTCCACTAAAAATGTCAAATATTCCATGAAGCCAAGGTAGTTAGTGGCCTACCTTTTTTTATTGCATTGTTAGCAAATGCAAGAGTGATGGTCCATGCCCCTCAGTTTTGCAGGACTTAAAACAAACACGCACTGTTTTGGAGCAGGCACCCCTTTAGCCTTCACTCTGGGAAGTGCTAGCCTCCTCTGCCTCCCTCTCCCCCCCAGTTAAGCAACATGGGACTGTGGGAATAACTCTGTGCTGAGTGAAACAGCAAAAGCAGCAACACAGAAAAGCTTCTCCTGGCCACCTGCTATAACTGCAGGTGCTTCCAAATAGAAACAAAAATAATCAAGAGTTGGTCTGCTGTCTACTTAGCATGCTGTATTTTAAAAACTGACTTAAGTCTTTTATAGTTGCTGTTTTCTATTTTTTTTTTTTTTTTTTTTTTAATTCTGTAACTGTTGACTGGGGTTTGGGGATAAAAGCCAAAAGAAAGAAGAACTGTTCAGTCTTGAGTATCATTCACGTTTACATTTACCAATGTAGATAGTTACTGAAATTAATTTCATTGTTTCATAATTACATTTGTTTTTTGAAATTACCACAAATATCTAGCCCACTGAAAACTAAAGTCTCTTTTCACTTTTGTAACACATTTAATACTAAAATTATTTTATCAAGTATTTTTTAACCAGTCAAATATTATTACTTACTGTTGGAGTGGATGTATTTCTATATGATAAAAGTATCTACTTCTGTCCTTTTCTCAAATACAGAAGAGAATTTTTTACTAAGACTTCAGCCTTACCTGCATTGAAGATTCTACCATTTCCCCCTAGCAATGGACTATAACAGTTTGGATTTTTTTTGTTGCTTGTATATTTAAGCATTTTTTATAGTCTTTGACACGGTTTGGCAGCAGCTTTCTCCCTTGGTTGCAGTACTGTGGCTTTGGGGCGTCTTGTAGAGTGTCCTGTTATTCTGATCTTTCTTTTACTTTCTTCTCCCAGCTAGTTTGGTTCTTCTTTATTTCCAGCTATGTGGAATTTTCCTTTTAAAAGCATCAATTACACTTCCAAAACAGAATAATCATTAGCTCATGACCATTTAGTGATGAAGTATATCTGCTGCTTATGAAAGCTTATGCTATGCACTTCTAATTTAGTCTATAAAAAAAAAAGTCAGAAGTGTGCCTAGACTTCTGTCTGAATTCAGATTAACATAGCTAACTACCTCTCCACTTAGTGGCACCCAACATACCACTAATTTTTAATCATCCTATTCCTGATTGCAATTTTGGCATTGGTTGCAGCTCTTTGGCACTAGTTTCCAAGTAACTACTGTTTATGCTAAAGAAAACCTGGAAACTAGTGTCAACAACTAGTTTTTCCCTTCCTAAAATAAAAATGACCAGTATTTGGGAATTTAACCCTGCATTTTGTAACAAGGATACAGTCCTCAAAACAAAATACACACCTTATAACATTAGAAGTCTTCCTACAATCACACTCCAAAGCAATAAGACCTTGCCACATCCCTGCCCACACTAATATTTATTAAAAGGACCTCACCTGTGTCAGGTACTTTTGGCTTCCATACATTACATATTGAGGTGCAAGGCTGTAGATCATGTAGCTTGTGTGTAGAACAATCAGTAGAAGTATCATGCAGAGAAATAAGAGCGCCTGGGGTCGAGTTTTGCCTCGTCTAATCTTGTACAACTAAAAGAAAACGTACACTAAAACATGCGCAAAAGTAGATCATTGCTTATGTAAACTGAATTATAGTTCAGTCCAAGGCAATTTTTTTTTTTTTTCCTTTTTCTCCGAGTTGCATCCTATACACCTATGCTGGCAACGTACGTATCTTAAAATGTTTTTGAAACATGCATTCCCCTAAACAGCTTTAAATGCAACATCTTATTTAAACATAAAAACACTCTAAATATAAATTTACACTAACTTTGAAAGTGACTAAACACTCAATTTGTTTTGAACTGATTGTATTTGAAATTTCCAACTCTTCTGCAGTTATTTTACTTAAGATAACTGATAAAAGTAAGCGAGTGTAAGTGAAGATGCTTTATGATTTACTGCAACGAAGTGAACAAGATCTTTCCCTTAATCTGACCCTGTTAAGGGACACTGGAACAGTGCAGGAAATTTCCTGCAGATTCATTGCAGCAAGTACAGGTTATTAAAACTTTCCAAGAGGGAAGGTGACAGTAATGGATGGGGAAAAATAAACAGGCAAGAAATACAAGAAGATTCTGAAGAGAAAAACCTTAGGATAGTCACACTCGGGAAAGGAAGTTAGGATGACGTTTATGTTTATTTTATTTTCTACCAATAAAGTCAAATCACATGCATTGAGGGCTTACGCCCTGCTCAAGACATGTTCCAGCATAACATGAAATTTAAAAAACATACAAACAAAAAGAAACCCACCCACAAAATTCTACACACTATTTACATATTAAATCAGTCCTGTTTTCAAATTTTTACAAAAGATTAATACAATTTAACTATTTTTACAACGTCACTTTGCTCATGTAGTAGCCCCTCAAGATACTTTGATGAAAGCTAAGAATCACATCATCCTAGTCAGGAAAGTAGGTAGTGGTAAATCCACTTTACAAGACAATGGTCAACAGGGTTGCCAACCATCACTAAAGAATTAAAAAAATAGAAGAAACTAGGCTTAAGTTGGCTGTCAGTAAAGTCTGTAAAAAAGACTTTAGCCATCCATTAAAAACAGAGCAGATGCACCTTGAAGTTTTTCCAGGCAACAATGCCACTTGGTGTTCACGTAGGAGCATTGTACCCATGCTCTCAGCCATGTGCTGCTGCTGCACCATTCCAGCCTGCCTGCAATACTGCTGGGTAACAGGTAGGCTTCCGTTGCCAGGAAAAGAGGATTGGGGCCATAGGGGTAAGGCTGGGAGACGAGGTGCAACATGGTGCAGGGCCCTGTGGTAAGTGGGGGCAGCAGAACGTAAAAAAACAACCCCATCAAATGCAATTAAGCAGGGTTGCCAACCCAAGAATAAATTTATTACAAGCAAACAGTCTTACTGACAACCAAATTTTTTTTTTTTTTTTTTTTAAACTATGGTTGATATTAAACCCCGAAATTTAAACCCAACCCTTCTTTGGGGCTTAGCAGCAGGGCAGGGCAGGGCCTGGCAGAAAATTTATATTCACAGTATACAAATCAGCAACATGCATCAGTAGAAAAAAAATTCTTGGGTTGGCCACCCTGGTGGTTACATAGCCTGTCATTAACTTAGAGAGGCTTTGGGATTGCAACCATAGTGCTCCAAATCCTATAAAGATGACAAAGTACAAAAAGGGCAAAGAAAGATTCCTATATTTCTTTCTGTCTACAGTAGAATTCCCTACAAGGTACTTAAACTCTTTAGCTGAGGACTTAAATTTCAGTTGAGGGCTCTGATCATTGAGTAGGAGGACTTCCTCAAGCAAAAAGGTGCTTCCATATTGTACCCACCCAGGTTGCCAATTCAGGGATCTATTCACAGGACTTGATATTTTCTAGACTCTCATGGTCTCTGATCCTCAACTTCAAAACTTGGCAAAAAGCTTCCTTGTTACAAATGACTACCACTTCCCACCACTTTCAGTGGGACCAAACTGTTCTCATGTAAAATGAAGTCCATTACATTGCATGAGGAAGTAAAATTTTTTGCAGTTAAGATAGATGCTTCTTGGACTTTCTTATTAGCAAGCTTAAGTCAAGGAGCAAGGGAAATACTGAGGGTCAGATATTGTTTCACTTAAGTGAGAAGTCCACTTATGTGCCTACATATGATTCTATTCCACATTTTATTAACCGTTTTTCAGAAACTTGGGGAAAGTGGATTCTTTTCTCCATTGCTGCTTTTTTTGCAGCTCAGTCTTCAAGGTAAGATATGATATGTTACAACAGTAGGTGTATTCATGAATTTTAAAAGGACCCAAGCAGGGTGGAACAATCACACTTAGATGCCTAACAGGTGGAACAATTTGTCCCTTACTTCAGGAAAAAGTCTGAAACCAGGGAAAGAAGACTAAGGAAGAGTGAGTGAACTAGTGAATGGCATGAAGAAGGAACAAAGAATAGCAAACAGGGTGATAGGTATTAATCCATCTTTTACTCTACTGTAGAGGTTAGGAAATTACCAGACTTCCTATAGGTAGCCCACAAGGGAACAATGCATTTAAGATGAGCAATGAAAGATGTAAAAAGAACACAAAATAAAATCCAGAAGCCAAATTAAAATAGTAAATGTTAACATATTTGCATCTCAGGACCACACAATTAACAGGCTACTTGCACAAAGCTCCCAGTCTTTGCTAGCTTAGAACCTAGAATTATCTCAGATTTAAATCTGCATTTTAACCGAGCCATCAGTCCAAAACCTAGTAGTTTGTATTTTTTTTTTTTTTTTTTTTTAACTAGCTGAATTTCTTACTACTCTTGCTACTAAAACTCATTGCAAGAACTGTTTACACAGAATGCTCGCTTTACGCCATTTCCATTTGTGTATTTTACAGAAAAAAGGGATTTGGATTTCAAAAACCACATTCTATTAAATTCGTTACACAGATTTAGAATAAATATTAAATAAGATTCAAATAAACAAGAAATATTTACCCTTATCCAAAAGAACCATATGCCCATGTTTCGAATGCCTGCCATTGAAGTGAAGATAAAATACATAACGATAGTTGTAATGAGGATATAATCAAGTGGAAAAACCTAAAGATGACATGAACATTAACATATAAAAAAAATGAAAAAAGAGGGCATTAAAAATGTTACAAAACTTGAGCACCAAAACAAGAATAACTCTTTCATTTTAAATAAAAATGTAATAATTTCCTCACGTTGCATAACAGAAGTACAAACTCCATCCTGTACATTGACACTGCATGCAACATAGTGAGGAAGGGAAATAAATCATTAGTGTAAAAACCAAAAGCCCACCAATTAATTTCACCTGCATCAAGTGTGGTCAGTCAAGTTGAAGAAACTGACTAACTTTGTTCATTTTTCTATAGTTCACCTGTATTTGAAGTTGTAAGTATTATCTATGTTTGAAACTAAAAAATAAAAAAAAAACAACTGCATGTATATAAAAGTTTTGCAAGCTTTGATCTCTTCAATTCCACTCTTTAGAGATTTACAGGAACATCTAGTGTTAAATTTCAGAGGTTTAATGCGTTTAAAAATCTTATAAAAAGAAGCAACTTTTTTTGTTAGCAGGAAAAACAAACATCCATCACTTCCATGGGCACTTTTACAAGCTACTGTAGATAACATTGCAGTAAGTAATCTTAGGAGCCTGAATTGTATTGATTAATTAAGAGTCAAAAAATATAAGTTATTTGTAAAGCATTATATTGCCAAGTCACTTGATGTCGACTTGGAATGATCCGTTACCCTCCCTAGCTCCTAGCGCACTACTCTAGATACATTACTTAGTTCTTCACATCCTCTTGATACAGTACTAAATTTCATCACTAAGGTTTCTCAAAGTTTCTCCTTGTCCTGGCTCCCTCCCTCTCTCCATGTACATCAGTACCTTTGTTCACCATCCTTTTGCCCTAATTACAATACCTAGGGCCCTTTTTTCTATTCTTATGCTTTCAAAATCTCCTGCATCTACTCATAAGTTTAAGATGTTTAGCGCAAACTAGTCTTAAAAAAGGTAAACATTTGACAATGTATTGGATTAAAGGAAGTTCTTCCAAAAGCAAAACAACTCCTTAGACAAGCATTTATAATTGCACACTTTTTTTTAGTTTGTGCTGTAGGCTTTAACAGAGGCAAATACAATTGTTTGCTGTTTAGCTGAACTGTATATGGCAGTGGAGGACTTGATAGCTTTCCTCATCTTTTAAACAATCACTTCAAGTTGGGCAACATTTGCCATGTCTCTACCCACTGGTTTTAAAAAAAAAAAAAAAACAACACAAAAAAGCCAACAATAAAAAGCCACCATTTTGAAGTGCAGGACACTGAATACATGTGACATTGATTGCTCATATGCTACTATGACAAGCAATCTTTTTTCACATTAATGCAAGATCTTTATGATTGCCAGCATAATTGCCGAAACCAAGGAAGAAGACTGGAATGCAACAGTGCTGATTAGAAAAAAAAACTGGCTTCCCCTTCCATCCCTTGCTCCTCCCTCCAAAAAAAAAAAAAAAAAAAAAAAAAAAAAAAAAAAAAAAAAAAAAAAAAAAAAAAGTTACTGCAGATAAAAGATTTTTAATAAGTTCGGGCCACTGTAATTTATCTTTTGGCAGCTTTCTTGAATAAAATATACTATTTCAGTAAAAACAGAACATACCATATATCAATCAAAATGTATTACTTACTGTTTGTAAAACAGGTAAAAGCATATTCAATGGATTGGTCAGATTAGTTCCTAAAATTATAAATCCACTATCGAAGCCAGCTGAATGCAGAGCTTTGTCCAAGCTGTAGTAAATAAGAAAAACTAGTTAAATATTTATGTCTTCCCTCCTGGTACCACACTTTCAAGTTCATTTAAAGAGATCTCAGATTAAGACAAGGATTTTTTTTTTGGATATACAGTTGGTATAATCAAACTATACAACTGAACCAAAATATAAAAAAAATGCTAAAAATGCTGGTCTGCTGTAAATTTCCTAGACAACACCACCACCTACAAACAGCTTCAACTGTACTGTCATATTAAGAATCACTTATTTTTGGTATGATTAAAAATTATAACTGAAAGAAAGTATTTATTTTCCCATTCATAGACTGCATTTTCACACCATCCCCTATATTAACAGTTAAAGTTCAGGCTGCAAAAATGCATACAAGTCAGATTATTCCTGTTCAAGCTATGGCATTGATATGCATCTGTGTAAGATGCATCACTTAGGCCACAAACAGGTGTTCATTTCTACCAGTTGTCATTTCTGAAACATGTTCAACACTAGAGAGGGAGTGTATAGTTTAACCTGCAGCTACCCCATCTTCCCTGTTCTCCAGGCATTTACCAAAGCAGGGTGACCCCATTCTGGGGAAGACATGAGGAACAGTGATAGTTCTACTTGTTCTATACCCCTTAGGGTCCAAAAGAAATAGGGAAATATCA